ATTTAAAATTAACATTTTCCTGTTTGTGAATTCAAGAATTTTGACACCAAATTCTGTAACAACACAGGAACAAAAGTTCATGCTCAGTTGTTTATCTGCCATTCACATGCTCTGAAGTTCTCTTCAAACACTGCTGTCTAGAAGACAAGCTGTATTATTTTAAATGTTAACTACACTCTTCATTCTTAAAAGGTTGTACTTGGGCGTGCTGGTTGACTTCAGACTCCCTTAAAGATCACCAACAAGTTCTCTTTCAAACTATTCCTGAACGGCACAAAACGTCATTGCTGTAGAGAAGCCTAGAATCAAGGTGTCTAGAATGCACTCAAAGTGCTAGCAATTCTGAGAAAGAAAGACTTCAGATTTGCTTTGGTAGACATCCTCACCTAGTCAAACTTGATAGTTTATAGATTTGGTAAGAGAACATAGCAACAGCTGCACTAGGCAAAACCAACAGTTCGCCTAACCCAGGATCCTATCTCCAGCACTTTCATGTCAGTAGATGATCAAGTAGGGAAGAATTAAGGAGGAGAAAAGAACACAGTTGTATAGTCCCAGAAAACTTCCTCAGCTTTCTGAAAAATTGCCGGTGGAAGACCTGCAGAGCCTTAGGGTTTCTGTGCCCTCAAAAACTTCCTCTTCCACAGAAGACAAATGTAGGGAAACTTTTAGCAGTCACAGTGTTGCTAGCAAGGAGCTCCATGGCTCCCACATGGAGAACCATCTCTTCTTCATGCCTTGATCCTACCTCTCACTTTGTTGCTTTCCTCCATTTGATACATGAGGTTCTTGTAAAGACAGCAAATATCCATTCTCCACACCACTTACCATTTACAGACCTTTGTCACATCTCTCCTCCATCTCTTTTTTCAGGCTGAAAGATCCTACTCTAAAATACAGTCCATCCTTGCCGAAAAGGAGTCAGAAACTGAAGAAGCTGTAAGAGGAAAGGAGCTGACTGCGTAGAACGGACAAAGAGAGGGTAAACTATGACTGCACAGACAAAAACACAAGCCCCACAGTGCAAGAAAGTAGGGACAGATAAAGGCTATATTCAAAATAGTAACAAATGGAGATTTTCAAAATGGAGGATATAAGAAGCCTGTGACTTCCAGCAACACAATGACGACTCCCTCACTACTTGCAAATCCATGGTTACTGAACAGATATAGCACTGATGGACACATTAAGAGGAAAATCTTCTATTAACAGAGGCATCAGAGCCAGCTGAGTCTGGACCACCAGACCAGGGCTCTCAGTGTAGTTTTTAACAGCCCATTGTATCGTTCTATCTTCCCAGAGGCTCGTGCATGATGGGTATGTGATATACCCACTCAATGCCATGCTCTTTGGCCCAGGTGTCTGTGAGGCTGTTTCGGAAATGAGTCCCCTTGTCTGACCCACTTCTCTCTGGAGTGCCATGTAGCCATAAGACTTGCTTTTTTGAAGGCCCAGGATAGCGTTACGGGCAGTGGCATAGGGCACAGGGTATGTTTCCAGTCATCCACTGGTTGCTTCCACCATTGTGAACACATGGCGCTTGCCTTGGTGGGTTTGTGGAAGTGTAATATAATCAATCTGCCAGGCCTCCCTATATTTGTATTTTAGCCATCTTCCTCCACACCAAAGAGGTTTTAACCGCTTGGCTTGCTTGACTGCAGCACCATGTTTCACGTTCATGGATAACCTGTGCAATAGAGTCCATGGTCAAGTCCACCCCTCAATCACGAGCCCATCTATATGTTGCATCTCTTCCTTGATGGCCTGAGGTGTCATGGGCCCACCAAGCTATGAATAATTCACCCTTATGTTACTAGTCCAGATCCACCTGAGCCACTTCAATCTTAGCAGTCTGATCTACCTGCTGGTTTTTTTGATGCTCCTCAGTGACCCGATTCTTGGGTACATAGGCATCTATGTGACATACTTTCACAACCAGGTGCTCTATCTGGGCAGCAGTATCTTGCCACAGTTCAGCAGCCCAGATGGGTTTGCCTCTGTGCTGCCAGTTGCTCTGCTTCCACTGCTGTAACCACCCCCGCAGAGCATTTGTCCCCATCCATGAATCAGTATAGAGGTAAAGTACTGGCCATTTTTCTTGTTCAGCAATG